GGGGGGGGGGGGTATTTAAGAAACCAGTCAGGAGGCTTGACCTAATGTGCCTCTAAGTAGATGAGAAGTACATTCCTGAGAACTACATGTGGGAAGTGAGAAAAGAAGTGACATAAACTCAAGGATGACATCCACATTCATGTGAGGAATTGGACACCACTTTACTGAGACAGAGAGAAAAGAATGGGATGTGACATTATCATTGAGTAACGACTACATGTCAGACATTGTCCTAAGCACTTGCTTGACTTGGAACAATGCAAACTGACTCAACCATAAACTAAATACAAACAACTATAACTATTTTCATAGAAGTAGAACAATCACCCCATAGTTACTATTATAAAACCACTTTAATTAGGTTGTTTTAACACACACACACACACACACAAATCATCGAGCAAAAATATAAAATGAATTTATATTTTTTTCCAAAGGCAAGAACATTTTTGAAAAATGGAAAAATAAGCTTTCATATGCAAAATAACTATAAAAATCTCTATTATTTATAAAACAATTCAAACAGTAAACTGTGTAATCAAGTCAATCAGGTATTGGTATAGGCAAATTGTTTTTAATAAAAAAATATGCAACAAAGCTTTTCCTTTCCATCAGGCCCAGGATATTGTTATATGGTTCATATTTATAACTCAAAAAAATCTGTGATTTTGGCTAATCAACAACAGAAATAAGCAATTACATTGGAAATACAGTAACCAGCCTTGAAAGACTAATATACATACCTTGGAAACAAAGATGTCAAGAAAAACAATGTTACTAGAAGACATCCTTTTAAAAGCCAAGAATCTGAATTGAAGTCTAGAATGTATCCAACAGCCCACATGGTAATCACAGAGAGCATCAGCAACAGGAAGAGCTAAGAGAGTCAAATTTTTAGAATCACCTATGTAGTTAATAATAATAATTTATTCTGTACAAGAAATTCCTAAGTATATAAAAAGAGTACAACAGAACTAGTACAAAGATTTTCTCATTAAATCTAAGCAATTTATACATCTTAGATAATCTCTTAAAAGCCCTACAGTCCCTGAAGTGTTGTTTAACCATATTTTATTTTGCTTCTCTTCTCTTCAAGAAATGGTGGGGGGCTGGGAATATGGCTTGGTGGTAGAGTGCTTGCCTCACATGCATGAAGCCCTGAGTTTGATTCCTTAGTACTATATAAACAGAAATAGCTAGAAGTGGTGCTGTGGCTCAAGTGGTAGAGTGCTAGCCTATTCAGGAACAGAAATTCAAGGACAGTCCCCAGGTCCTTAGTTCGAGCCTCAGGACTGCCCTCCTTCCCCCAAAAAAGAAATGGTGGGGTTTATTATTATTATTATTTGTTATCATTATTACTAATTTTTTAAGGAAAATACCCATGAAAACTGATTTTCCAAAACTAACAGTTTTCATATAGCACTCTATATCAGAAAACATAAAGCAAGCTAAAGGGGCCACTCAAAAAATCAATATATTCAAGACTCAATTGAGGGGAGATGAAAGCTTCAACTTGAGTACTATGTTGCATCACCTCCCAATAAAAAAGCGTTACAGGAAACAGTTCTGTAGAAAAGATAGGCTTGGTTTGGGGCAGGTGAAGCTTAAAGCACCTAACAACATCCAGGAAATATCAAAAAGGCAAGTTTTACCATTTCAGAATACTTACGATTGATCAGTATGTAGGTGGTAAAGCTATGGAGGAACAAAATCCTCAGTCAGGTGCTAGTGGCTCACTCCTGTAATCCTAGCTATTCAGGAGGCTGAGATCTGAGGATCGAGGTTCAAAGCCAGCCCGGGCAGGAAAGTCCATGAAACTCTTATATCTAATAAACCACTAGAAAACGGGAAGTGGCCACTGTAGCTCAAGTGGTAGAGCGCTAGCCTTGAGCTGAAGAGCTGAGGGACTGTGCTCAGGCCCTGAGTTCAAGCCCAAATCTGACCAAAAAAAAAAAAAAAGATTGTGTGTACGTACAAAGGGGCAGAAGTTGGATCAGATGGGCTGGTCCTAGTGAAAGAATATTGTGCATAAGCCAGGAAATTTTCACAAAGGTAAGGTTCTCCATTCCAAACTTCACATGGAGATAAAAGATTGAAATATCTTCCTTCCTTCTCTTCCCTTCCCTTCTCCACCATCCTCTCTCCCTCCCTCCCTCCCTCCCTCCCTTCCTTCCTTCCTTCCTTCCTACCATCCTTTTTTTGCCAGGCCTGCATCTTGAACATAGGACCTGGGTGCTATCTCTGAGCTTCATTTCACTTAAGACTAACACTCTACCACTTGGGCCACAGCTCCACTTCCAGCTTTTTCTGAGTAGTTTACTGAAGATAAGAATGTCAGAGACTTTCCTGCCTGGGCTGGCTTTGAACCTCAATCCTCCTGATTGTAGGCATAAGCCACCAGCACCTGACATGCAATATTTATTGAGGATGACAATGACTCAGGTTTTCTATAACAAAGTTAAAAGAATAAATGTAAACCAACAGTCTGTCTGCACAGAAGCAAGGTTCCACATTTGTGCAACACAGTCCCTTAGCTACAAGTTACTAGACCATGAAAGCAAGCAAGGCTTTGCAATAGCAAAAAGGAAAAATATATTTTGCCATTTTAATTTCTCTGAGCCTATTGTGAGATGAATAATATCATTTAATCTTTTAAATGTTTTCTATTCTAATTTGCTTGGTGACACAAAGTAAGTTTAGATTTTTTTTCTTAAAATAAATTTAGACTTATATATAAGCAACACAATCATAAAACAGAAATAAGAGCTGGGTGTGGTGATACATGCCTGCCTACTTGGGAAACAAAGGCAGGAAGATCTCAAGTTCAAGGGTAGTCTTATGGGCTAGGTTAGGGAGACCTTATCTCAAAAATAGATACAGCTCAAGTGATAGAACACTAGTATTCACAAGCTGATACTACAAAAAAAATTTTTTTAATTAAAAAATACTAAGAAAAAAAATTTTAAAATGTGGATCTCAGCGCTAAATTCCAGAAATAATACTTTTACAAATGAGTCATACTATTTATTTGTTCCATAAATATACTTCACTGGAACAAATCAATGAACTTAAGGTCTTTTTCTTATGTAACTTAAATTCTAGCTGGGAAGACAGACAAATGTGTTAATTTTATGGTATATAAAAAAACTGAGTCACATGAAGTCTAGCAGGCTATTGTGAGGACTTAGCTTTTACTCTGGGAAAGAGACATCAAAGGAATTTGAGATTAGTGACAGGATCTAACATTCCCAAAGCTTCATCTGCCAGAATGACATGGCTGTGGTGGAGTGTGCCTAGGTGGGATCAGATTCTAGATATAAACTAAAGGCAGAAACAGCCAAAGCCATACCAACAGAGGTATATTGTATGATAGAACAAATGATGATTGGAAAGTTCAAGTTGCTACCTATTGAGATGTGGAAGGCCTAGCTAGGGATAGAGAAATGATCAAGAGGAGTTCAGTTTTTGATATCATACCAAACATATCTATTGGACACGAAATTGGATAAGCCTAGTAGTACCTGTCTATGAATCAAATCCATTTACATTTTAATTTTTTCATTAGAGAAATATGAAAGTACATGAAAATATGCACAAAGAAACACACAGTTTTATAGCCATCTAGCTGAGGACTATCACTTCGTATTCAATGAAATATCAAATTTCCAACTTTGGGTTGTGGGGAACATGGGAAGATATAATCAAAGATATAATACATCACAGAAAGCTCTTTGCTCTCCCACATTACTCTAAAAAATAAACAAAAACATTTTAAAATTCCATAGAACAGGCTCTACATGAAAATACCTCACATTTCTGTAACCATTTCCAAAGCTTGAACTTTTGGTTAACTCTTGTTTTGGCTTCTGTTTTGAGCATGTGAATAATGAGCTGATTTTTGTTTTGTAGAGCCATATCAAGAGGAGTTTCTCCCTTTAAAAAAACAAACAAAAACTCAGTTATACTTTTGATATATTAAAGGATTTTAAAACACTTTCACCAGAATTATAGACTCAACACATTTATTTTAAAGGTAACTATTGTTAGTATTTATCTTGTGGTATCCAAAACCAAAATGCATAGCTATGTATATTAAATTATCAATCTTCTGTCTAACTGAAGCTGTAATAAACAATAAGAGATAAATACCTGGTCATACCTTAACATTTCGGATGTCTAGGCTAGAACCAGCTTCCAAAAGTTTATCAACTGCATTGACATTTCCAGATGCAACTGCCCAATGGAGTGGAGTGTTTTGGTGTACTTTATCAACAACATTGAGAGAAGGATTAAACTTTAAAAGAAATCCAGTTGGTTCTGATCTGTCTCAAAGCAATAAAATGGAAAGGAGCATTAAAAGGATAACATTTTGAGAAGTAAATTAAAAAAATAAAAATTATAAGCTAATGTATCAATTAACCAAGCCGTAACTAAGGATTCTGAAGAAAGACATCTCTTAAATAACAGACAATAGAATTTAGACAATAATATAGTAGAATAAAAAAAGCTTTTATTTCCATGTTGTTATTCTATGATTAGTTAAAATATTTTTTCAAGTGTAGATTTAACTCTAGCCAATATTCAGTGCTATCTAGTTAAACATTAAATGTAGGGGCTGGGATGGTGGCTCAATGGTAGAGCACTTGCCTTGCATGCATGAGGCCCTGGGTTCAATTCCTCAGCACCACATAAGCAAAAAGAAAAAAGCCAGAAGTGGTGCTGTGGCTCAA